CTCTTTCAATGTAGTAGAAAGGAGACACTTTTGAAAATGTCTCCAACAAAGGTCACGTTAAAATAAACACATACTTTCATACATCAAGTACTGGCAATGTATCCTTATGTTTTTCCCACAAATACATTTATAAAAGTGTGGAGTAGCACAAAGCTGCTTCAGGGCCATTCAGCAGTTTCCATCACTGTAAGAGCATCTATGTGACAGTTGAATAATGATGAAGATTTGGGATTTCTGATAGAACTGTTGTGTTTATGCTTACGTGTTGTTAAACCTAATTTATAATTGTGGCTGATATGTCTGTGAGGATGCCAAAGGCCTGAAGAAAGCAGCTGCTTAATACGTCTTAGTCTGTCAAGGTCTGTATGTTGCAGGATTCTTTACAGCAACAATGATGGGAGGAGGTAGTGTACAATTGTTCGTACAAAGGTGGAGGTTTTTGTAGAATCGACAGATAAAGATTACAGGATATCTGCTTAAAGGTTCTTTATTGAAGCAGTGTTACAGACAACTATTGGACAAACCTCAGAGTCTGAAAAAAAAGGCTGGCTGTTTCTGAGTTACTGAGATTCTGGATATTCTCCTGCACCCACTGAACTGAATTGTGTTGGGGTTGAGCTCCAGGATTTGGCTTTTCAGTTGTAGCATTGATTATAAGTACGTAACAATTTAATCAAATATTTTTAAAACAGTGACCAGTTACTCAGATTTCAGTATTTTCTTTACCAGATTTTCATGTTTGTCTGCTTATTGTCTTCAAATCAATGCAGAATTTGAAGTTGGCAGTATGGCAGTTTTTAGTTTGTCATACCAGACGCACGATTCAGGTTGCTTACAGGAATTTTTTTCTTCCTTTTAGCTGGTGACAGCTGATGTTGATAACTTCAAAAGGCTTTTTTTTTTTTTTTTTTTTTAATTCTTCCCACACATTTGGCTGTCATTTAGAGGTGTTGGGAAGTGAAAGAATAGCATCCAGTAACATCTAAATTCCATTCTCTTTTCTCATCTCAGTCACCTTTAGCTGTTTCTTGAGGAAGTCTACATAAAATGATAATTCCTGTTCTCTGAGAAGTTACGCTGGTTCTCAGTGTTCAGAGGTATCAGTACTTGCTCAGACTGTCACTTCCAACCAGTATGATACCAAACCTTTCATTATTGCAGCAGATTTTGTTTTAGGGGGAGAAGAAGTAAACAAAGGAGCAGCTCCACATTTTCTGTTGTTTTGTTGTCTTCATCTTTTTTTAGGGTTGCTGGAGCTCCATGCCTGCCTTCCAAGCTCTGTATATTTTCTTGGCAATATCAATAAGAAACCCATACATGCAAAAAACCCCCATAATTCTAATAAGAATTTTGTATCTGGACTGAAAGGAAATTGAGTTTCCAATGACTAGTAGAGAGAGATTAAAGGGTTCTATGTCTGCAAGATCAGCCAGCAGAGAGAAAGGTGTTGTCAGATGTCAGTAGGGTTGTTCTAGAAAGAATGTGTTTCTGGCTAGGACAGCTTCCCAATGGTGAAGGTTAAGATTTTGATGACTAACTGCTTTCTTTTAGTGATGAATTATTACTGGAGGAGTGTTTGTGCTACTACAGTTTCCACAGAGACCTTGTGAATGTGGAAGAGGGTCAACAGAGGTTTTACACTACTCAGGAGACTGGCTTAATTACATGTATCAAGTCAGGTGCTGCTTTTTTTTTTTTTTTTTTTTTTTTTTTTTAGTAAAAAAATGCTGGAAAGGGATTTTGTTTTGTCATGAAATGAACTGATAGAGTCTGGCAGCAATGTGAATACCTGAAATGGATGTGGGATTGTGTTTGCATCCCTTTCTTAAATTTCTTTCTGTGACAGAATGAGTATGAAAAGAGCATGAAGTCAATACTCTGTGTCCTACTGCAGCCTTTACCCAGCATGTCACCTTGAGGTGTTCTGAAAACTTCTCTATTCCAGGTGACACCTTTCTGCATTAAATGTGCTTTTTATCTGAATGGAAGTAGGGCTTGTCTGATTATTAGAAAGCCAAAATGTGTAATAAAACCTAATCTTTGAACCTACAGTTTACACAGTAATGGTTGACTTATGTGCAGACTAATACATATGTGTTGTAGGTAAACAGATGCAGATGAATACAGCTGTAAAGTCAAGCTTACTATGAAGATAAACATTGGAATTACTTGAAATGTAATAAAATGTGATGAAAGATGAAGAATTTAGTGTTATTCAAACAAACCTTCAGTTGAATCAATTTGAGAAACAACAGCCTGCAAATACCTTTCATCTGATCTGATAGTTACCTGAAAGTATTAATTTTTTTCTGCAGATCATCTAATACAAGAAGTGAGAATGTGGGTTCACTGTTTTTATTAAGGTTCCTCGCGAAGGAAAATGGAAAGGAAAATAAGTGCTTTATGTTTTTCTTATTTTCTTGACATTATGCCACATGCTCCCAGTAAAGGAAACCTATAAAGGAGCACATCATCATTGCTAACAGAAAGCTGAGATTCAGAAATTAGTTTTGTAATCTAGTTATTTGGACTAACTGCTTAATCTGTTTTTCTGTGTATAATGTGGCAGTATTATGGTGGAATTGAATGACAGGAAAATGCAGTAGTTAATCTTTATTGTTAGTTACTGCACATCAGTGGAAGTTATCATTCCTTGAAATAAAAATTTTCCACAAAGGTGAAGACTTAGACAGCAAGGAAAGATGGGGAGAGAGGGGTATATCTGGTAGGAGAAAAGTATCTGAAGTGAATAGAGCTATAACATAAAAATCTTTATGTACAACCCGTGGTTGTGGTGCATTGCAGGGTTTCCTACGTTTTGTTGCAGAACAGCCTACCAGATTAAAGATTATAGTACTTGTGAAGAAATGTGTTACACCATCCCTTTCCTGAAGCCAAAATTTTCAAAGCCCTTCTGTCATGTGGATGGTGAAGGAAATGTAGGTCACTTCTTAACCCTCTCTTCTGATTTTCCTGCTTTATATAGCACTAAATAGACTGTTTTGTCTTAAAGCTTTTCTACCTCTTTCATTTTGCTTTGGCTTCATCTGTCCTAAAGATATTTTGTCTTATACCTGATGGTGGGAACAGTGGAGTCTGTCTGTAGCAAGGCTAGTCTGCAGTAGTGGAATTTGTAAATTCAGGCCATAACAAAACATGCTTACTGTAGAAGTGAGTGAGTAAACGAGTTGTTATCCTTATTGTTCAGGTTTGCCTTTTGGAATGTGGTGCATATGCAGTGCTGGTAGACCCTTTGTCCTGAAAGATTCCACAGGCAAGCGAAGAATTAAACTGCAAAGTTTTTCAGAAGCATTTTGGTACTGGCACAGTTTCCTGCAGATCATTTGAATGTTCAGCCATGCTTAATGACTTAGTCGAACTTGATTAAGAATGGGGTTTTTTTTCTTGTCAAATTACAAAGTGTTGAGAAAGAAAACTTTTTTCCTGTTTAGAAACTTCCTTTTTATTTTTCCCCTGTACTTCACTCATGCTTTCTCTAGTATGCTTGTTCGTAGTTTATGTGCATACAGTTACTGAGCTGCCCCTTCTTTGTATATTGGCTAGGAAAAGGTTTCAAATGGTTCAAATTCTATTTCCATTGAACTTGGCAGCATTGTTGTTGTTATTTTTGTAAACTGAGATGGGAATGGAACTTGACCCTCGATAAATATTCGGATAATGTGAAACAGTAACCCATGATACAGACTGAACAGCTGATGACCATCATTTATGGGCAGGGCTAGGAAGTGGGAGTGCTCTCTTTTGCCTCTGTCTAGGTGTTCTGGATTAAAAACTGTTAGGCAACCAGATTTGAAAATTTAGCATAAAATAGTAATTTAGTTTCAGGTGATACACAATTACATTCAAAACAACACAGGGAATTCAGAGGCTGTATTCTGGGTTGGTTGATTGAAGTATAACCCAATTTCTACACATCTGAAGCTGTTTATTAGGTTTCCAATGTTACATCATTGTAGCAACTTCCACCAAACAGTGGGGTGTGTGTTGTCTGTGTGGCTAACTTGATCACTATAGAAAGCTCCTGATCCCTCTGTAAATTTGCAGGGTTTTCACTGTGCCTGTTACGTGTTTGTATTTAAGGCAGCACCATGCATGTCATTCCAGGTTCTGCAGAAAGCATCCAGTCATGTACTGCAAGCTGCTAGTTCTCATACATAGACAAGCATACAAAAACCTTTGAAAATCTATTTCTTTTTATGTAGAGTGTTGTAACTGATCACAGGGCTCTTCACTTAGGCTTCTGTTACCTTTGCCCTCTGTATGTATTGAATACCTGCAAAGAGATCTTTTCTTTTTAAAATAGGGCAATGACTTGATTATCTGGTTTTCAAGTAATTATAATGTTGAAATTATAATTTTGAGGACTTTTAAAAAGAGTGTGAGAACCATGTTTATTTGTCCAGATGTAAAATAAAACATTCTACTGTTGCAGATCTATGAATTCTTTGTTTTGTTTGTATAAAAAGTGAATGTTTTACTTTCATTTTTCTTGTGTTAGTAATGCCCTCTCAGTACTATCAGTAGCAGTAGCTTAAATGGGAAAACATATAAGCAAAGACATAAATTTAGAAGCCATTGGGAAAGCTGTATTTCAGGTGTTTTAGATAGTATATAACTATATTCACCCATCTGATGAAATTTCAAGATTGATTTTGGTTTGCTTAAAACTGTATAGTTAACTTTATTTCCCAAATTAATTACTAGTGGCTACACTACCTGACCTTCTAGAAAAAAACAATTATTTATATATTTGTTAGATAGCATAGGCCTAAGCTAAGTTTTATCTAAACTAAGCTATAGCTATTAGTTATAGCGTAGCTATAACACATAGTTTTTAATGAGGATTTTAACATGATATAGTAGCCTATTGCTCATATGAACACATCTCTTCAGTGTGAGATTATATTTGGACTCACCTTCTTTTTTTTTGTTTGTTTGTTTTTGTGTCTTTTCTTCCTCCTTGCCCCTTTTTGTTACAGAGATCAGAATGTTCTGGACCCTACTTTGGAATATGTTAAGGTAAGGTACCATTTCTTACCCTCAGAATACTTTATTTGGTGTATAACCAGTGCTGCCAGAGCATTTCCAGCCATTTGTAGATAAATAGTGTTTCTGTCTATCTTTTGCTACAGAAAAAAAAAATAATTATATATGTCAGACTGTTTTCTGCATGATTCAGTGAAATACTTGGTGTTGTGCTTTGGGGGTAGGTTGCATTTTTATATTGGGACCTCTTTTCTGTTACATGGTAACTACCTACAATCTTGCCTTTGTTAAAATAATCAGTATTTCTTGCTTATGTATTTCTGGGGAAGCAAAGGAACACATCTGAAAAAATTACAAAAATGTCACATTTAGGTTTGTGTTTTTTGCAATATATTTACTAAAGTTAGATAAAAATTCACTTGTGGTCCAAAAAGTAACCAGAATACTGGCAAAACTGTAAATTCTGTTCCTTTTGTACAAGATCAGTGCTGAAAAAAAAAAAAACCACACCACACACACATATTAAAAATGTGTATTTTCTTAGAGTAAATAAATTCATAAATTTTATTCGAAAATCAGCCTGGGATTAGCAATATAGAAACATTGGAAGAAGTGTTAAGGAAGTGATTCTGTACTGAAAGTCTCTTGCAGTGCTGCAATTTTCACTGAATTAGTACCTTTCAACATGTTTCATTTAAGTGAGTATTATTTCTCAGAACCTTGAAAGAATCTGTCTTCTGTCATGTCTCTCAACAATGGGCAGCTTTAATTGTTGGATTTTGTTCCCTGTCTTTTGGAAGACCATAATCTTCTGAGAAGTGTCTGATAAACACAGGTTATCCTTGAAGGTAGGATATTTCTGTGGCTATATATGTGGATAGCCTGAATTTTTCAGACACCTGAATTTCTGCTTCAGGTTAGAGTTCATGTGAGGAAGAGACTGAGGAGAGCTAGGCAACTGGGTTCTGCTGCTGCAGTTCCCTCTGTGAGTGTTTGTAGTTGAAGGAAGCAGAGAGGTGCCCAGACTAGGGTTCAGGTTGATCAAAGAAGTAAACTAGAAGAATGTAATGCAGTGTTGAGAGGGGACTGTCAAAGGAAAGTACCAAGAATGAATTTGCCGGAAAGTGTGGAGGGGTCCTCTGCTGGACTTTCTGCTTAGGGTTTGGAAGAAGAGAAGGGGAAGAGCAGAATGTGAAGGTCCATGGAAAAGGGGCTGCCAAATGACTCTGAGGACTGGTGCTGGAATTCCGCTCTGAACAGTTAGCTCAGTGTTGCAAGTTCTCTGGCCTCAATCCCAGCCTGAAGTTGTGCTCTGGTAAAGTAGCAGAGACAGAGAAGGCCAAGAGCCTTCTGAAAAGTATTGTAGAAGAGGGGATGCCAAAGGCAACAAAGTGGTGGACATGTTAATTGCTCTATTTAATTTACTGTGTATCCTGCCCTATGCTGTACAGAGTATGTTTTTACAGTTTTAATAATATGGCCAAGTAGAAGGCAGTGGTATCATGTGCCAATTCATCAATATGTGTGTCTTGTCTTGTTGCAGCAAGTTCTGTATTATAAATGTGGTTTCTGATCTTTTCAGCTTTTCTAGTAGAAGCTTGTCTTGGACTCTTGTCAATAGCAGTGGTTCTAAGCTTAGTTATTAAAACTTTGATGTTGGGGAGGAAACCCTGGGGAAAAGAGACACAGGAGGGAGAATATCTTCCCCTTCTTTAGGTTGCCATCCCCTTCTCTTCTTCTTTCAGTTTTTCCTGTCTATATTCCTACTTTTAGTGCACTATGAGTTTGGTCCCCAGTTCAATGGTATTATAACAGAAATTCTAGACAAGAAGTCTTAAACTACAACTTTGAAAAATACACAGAAATTGCTTTCTAATAAATATAGCCCCCCAAAAGATTTTTTGGCTGTAACAGTCCAGGTTACTAACAAAACTGATTCCAGAAATGTATTATTACACAAAAAATTATCATTAATGCCAAATAAAGGACTCTCATCAATAATTTATCAGTTTACTGTGACTGTAAAAGATGCACCTGAATTCGTAACCATGGGATCTTGGAACCCCCTTTGGCTTAAGTTTCAGCAAGTATGTGTTCATTGTCTTCTATAACTTACCTCATGGTAACTATTATGTTTATAAATTTTCCTGCTCCTTGATAAAATTAGGATGGCAGTGTTAAGTCAGGTATAAACTGCAGAACACTAATCTACTCAAGTTACAAAGCTGAAAGGATAGATTTCTGTAGCATCTGACTATGCTTGTACCAACATTGCCATTTGCAAAAGTCTGATATATCATGTGTGTGTATTTAGTTTGAGCAAGCAGGGTTGGTGCCAGTTGGGTAGGCTTTGAGAGGTGTTGCTTAAGTGATGAAAGAAATACCTTTAACTGAAGAAGAGATAGTAAGAGAAGAGGGAGAAAATAGCAAGAGCACTTTCAGGAATCCTATTTTGCTGATTCAGGATGCCAAAGTTCTGAGAGACAATTTCTTATTTTTGATGCACAGGAAAATATAGTTAGTATTGTCTCTAGACAGAGACTTGTTCATTGACTGACTGAAAACACATATGAACTTGAGTATTAAGCATACATCAAAACTAAAAATAGAGCAAGCTAATTGTAACCAAAGTCTTGATACCGATTTTTATTTCTCTCAACTTGCTGTTCAGACTAAAGAGAAGAGAGACTATGGATTAATTTGCCTTGCAAAAAATGGCATTATCTTGAAAGTAGTACATGGCATAAATTTCAGCTGTATTAGGGGTAGTCTGGCTGCTGGCCATGCTACCCAAGAGTTACAGTCCCAAGCAAAATGTACTGTCATGGCCCTGAGGGCACTAACTGGCCTTAAATGTCCTGAGCAGCCTCACTTAGGACCTCCACTCACACCCACTGAGCAAGGGCTCCACTTAAGCCCAGACAGGGGCCTTCAGACCCTGCCTGAGCTGTGTCTTAGGTGTGCCTGCTCCTAGCCCTCTTCCTGAAGTGCTGTGTGAGAAGCCCTTGATGGACCTTGGACCTGGCCTGTTACCCTGTCTTGCCTGAGGCTCACTGGACCTGTCTTATAATCACCCTACTCAGCTTGCTTGCATCTTGGTGCTGTGGGACTGCACCTTGTTGGTGAGTGTGTTGCCCACCGTGTGCTCCCAGATCATGTTGCCTTAGGGAGCAGCTCCACTTTTGCTGCTCCCTGACATACTAATTGTAGTCAGCTGTTTTGGAAGATTCAGTATGATCAAATATGTGCCATCCTCATAACTGATTCTCCTTATCGGGCTGTGCAGCATACCTAGTCTCCTTCAACTTCAAGAGACAAGCAGCTAGTTTTAAACTAGCTATATCTAGGAAGTAATTTTAAAAATAGAAGCTGGGCACAAAGCTGATCCTGCAGCTTCACAGTTGAAAATTAGCACAGTTTTTGCAGTGTTGCAAGCATGCTACTTAAGTTTCATGTGAGTCCCATAAGAAAGATAACGTAATACTTGTTCAGAATGTGCTCCTGCTGGAGAGTGATCAACATCTCTTCAGAACTGTACTCTACTGCAGATAGAATGCATAGAATTCATTCAGACTTGAGGAAAAGTAACACAGTTATTTTTTTTAGTCAGTATGCTCTGTTTCACAGTGAAAAGAATATAGTGTTTGTTGTGGCTGTAGTGACTACAAGCAGGCATTGCTGTACAGGGCAGAAAGATGATGGTAAACTTGGAAACTGAGTGTATCAATTTGCTTTCTATATAAAACTTACCTTGCTAGAATCTGGTGACTAAAAGTAATATAAGTAATTCTTTGTATTTAGAAATACACTAGACAAGAGGAAAGGCAAAATAAATTGTTTTTTCTTGCGTTTTATTCTGTTCAAGATACAAGGCAGAAAACACTAATTATAAAATCAGTCCTCTGAAGGCATTGTATTCGACAATGCTCTCTATAGATGTGCTATGGTTTCTAATACTTGAATCTAAATTACAGCTCACAAATGGCAGTTTCCTGCATCTTGAATATTGATGTATTAGTTCATTCACTATATAAAGAGAGCTAATTATACAAAAGCAAGTTCTGAGGGAAAAAACCCAAGTACTGATTTGCTGAAGTCTGAGTACTGAAGTGCCTGTATGGCCTCAACCCTTCCTTTGTCTTCATAGTGTTGCTGAAACCATGGTCACAGTTAAATGGCTCTTTCAGAAAACCCTTTTATGATAGAAGTAAAAACAGGCCAGACTGCTTTGAGTCAGGCTGCTAACCAAGTCATGAAAGAGATTTACGAACACAATAGCACGTTGTACATTCTGTGAGATTTTTACAAGTTTTATGAGCTAAATAATAGAACCATTGGTAGTCTCAGCAGGTTCTTCCCACACCCTGAGTCTGCACATCCACAGAACAGACTCCTGCAGGGGAGAAAGGATCAAGTGCTGGCAGATTTGAGTGTGTCAGAGAGCTTCTTGTGAGTCGTTTTGATCAAACTCATGTGAATTCTGTCCCATTCCTATTCGCTATAAATACTTTAGAATCTTGTAATAGATGTCTGTGCTGTAATCATTAAGGATGTATCAGGGTGGAAAGAAAGAAAAACAGATTTATCTCCTTCTTTCATGGAAACCTTTTGAGCACTTCCTATGGAAATAGTGCTATTAATTACAGAAATACTTATCAGTGATGAGTTCATGAGTATTACTATGGCCTGAGGTTTTGGAGGTTTATTTTAATCCATTAGTGGAAAAAATAAAAAAATTATGACTGTCTGCTCAGCACGGTCATGAGGGAAGTTTATATTTAGATTCAGACTTGAAAAAACTGACACTGGTCTAAGCAAATTACAGCTGCAGAAAAACATTTACTCCCTTGTGAAGTTCTACTGAAGAATTCTTGTTTGTCTTAGCCCCATAGTGTTAATTTTTTCCCTATTTTTACTCCTCGATCTTGTTAGAAAGCAAACTGTCATAGAAATTATTGTCAGTTATGGCAGCTTTTGTGAGCATAACTGAAAATAAAATTCTGATGACATTACAACGTGTTGATCATTATCTG